ATGCTGCAGTACATTTACAACCTTGCGTGCACACTGTCACTTTCCAGTGCCAGGCTAGAAAAGATGTCTTTTATTCATATGTTTGGCTCAAGTGATATGCACATCATGGTAATTCTAAAATTGTATGTTATGTGACATAATGTCTCCAAACTGTGGACATGTGAGAAATGCAGTCTTAATTTCTCCAAAGATATCAAAAGTAAATTCATAAAGAATCTAGCAAATCTGATCATATGTTTGGTTTACCTCAGTAAAATCCAGACTACAGAGCCAAGCAGTACTTCATTTTCCTTTAGTGCATACATACAATGCATGTGAAATCACTGTCCTAGAACATCTGAGTATGTTTGGTCACTGTTCTTTTCTAAGGTGCCATAATATGTTATTTGTGGAGCCACATACAGAGACTCTAAGGATAAAGGACATCAAGGGTGAGGGAGCGGTGGCCAATAAGAGACCTGATAAACAGCTCCTACCAACAGGAACTTACAACGGAGGAAGCTGAAGACGCATACCTGAAACTCCTATGTGTTCATGTATGGCTATAGGAATAAATATCAAAATGAATGACAGAGAATATATTTTGGGTTTTTAGAGAAAGTAACTATAGAGAAAGAATTTTTTTCTAATGCTCAGAGATGGGATCAATGAGAGTTACAAAAGCCCAGGAAATCTGAACAGGTCCCCAGTAGATAAGGCAGAACACATAGTACCTGGAGGGCTAGCGTAGAGAGGGTGCAGAGAGTGAGCACCCAGCAACAGTCTGACATCAGTAATGAAAACAAAGACATTCATGGAAGAGGGAAGCAAACAGTCTGTTTTATAAATTAGCACTTACTTCCTTCTGGTCTTGGGACGATGGCTCTATTAAAAGTATGGAGCAGCTGGTAAGAGAAAAAAAAAGGGGAAACAGTATTTTTAACAAATCAATAAAAATGATCTAGTAGGCACACCTAGGGCTTTGCAAAAAGTACACTGGTTTTGGAGAATTCCCATCATCTGCTCTAATGTAGACAGCTAGCCCACTCCGTCTCTCACTGAGGGAGCAAGAACAAGGTGAAAGGACCACGATTCCTAGGGAACTCCTTGAAAGTCCATGCAAATATGAAACGCTCAGCCTGACAACTCTAGAAGGACAAAGTCATTGCTGCATTTTGATCCGTAAGGTGAAGCTCATTTTTGCGCCACTATTTCTAAAACCTGGTTTCTACCTAATTCAGAAAGCGATGACTCGGGCCCATCATGTAAATAACCACATCTGAAATAGATAGGTGATCATTCCAGGCTGCCTCTAAGAATTCTAGCGCCTCCCCATTATGTGCAAGACATACATAACACCTGCAAAAACTACACAGTACCTGAACTGTCGCCACATAAATACACAGCTGAACATAGTTATGTGCCACTTACCAAAAGGGGCTCTGTTCTGAGAAATGCATTGTTAGGTGATGGCATCATGGTGCGAGCAAACACCTAGATGCTGTAGCCTACTATAGTAATGGTAAATGGGACTATACTTTAATGCTACTGGCAGCACAGTAGGTTTGTTTACTAAGGCATCTCTGCACAAACACGTGAGTCATACCTCACAAAGGCTATGGTAGACACTGGGAATTCTTCAGCTCCATTATAATCCTGTGGGACCACCACAGCATATGTGGTGCATATCTGTAGTGCATGACTGTATTTTCTTTCTGCACACTTGCCTTTATCTGTGTATCTCAAATGGATGACTTGACTCTTTACTCTAAAGAAGGGTTATACATGTCTTCAAGATGAGACTGCCTTTGGCAACAGATTTATTTCTATATAGATTTGTTTCTATAATGATCCCAAGTCCCCAATTCAACGCATGATCTGCCCAATCTCAATTCCCAAAGGCCACTGAAATGAAAGTCGTGGCAAAGAGACTGGATTTCTGTGCCTCTGGATCTATATTCCTGACTTTATTCCTCAAACCAATCCAAATACACAGGCCCATTCACTAAGGCTGCATAACACTGTGTACAGTATTCCATCAGGCTAAATCACAAATTGTTAAAGCAAGCAACATAATTACAGCAGTCGCTTATAGGACTGCCTGCCCTGCCTCATATTTACTATCCCACCTCCACTGAGATCAAAATAAATTGCAAGCCTTTATTGTGTTCATCATCCAAAGTACTGTCAGGTAGAAGAGAAGACACGGAGAATTCAGATGACTTCCCCAAGCAGAGCAAATCAGAGTGGCAAGTCATAAAACATCGAAAATAAAAACTAATGATACAGCAGTCTCATGTGTGCTGCTGCCACCTCAAGCCAAATTACTCGAATTCTGAACATGTCTGAGATTAATTCAAGCACCAGTTTCAGCAGGGAACTTTTTTCACGTATTATAAAATAAAAATAGCAGGAAAACGAACACAAGTCAACTCTACGGGATTTGAAATAAAACTCAACCACTGATCATTCTTACAGCTTCTTTTCCACCCAGAGCTTCCAGCCACTGCTTCCGCTCCTCTTCTGAAAACGCCTGCATGGTCAGGGCAACGCCGGGCCTGAAAGACACAGAACTATCAGGTTACCCCTCAGCTGCTGAAAACAAACCTCCTTTTCTACTCTCTAATGTTTCATGGTGGTGATTACGTTGTTGTTGGTTTTTTTAAATTTTTTAATTAGGAGAAAATACACATCATAAAATTTACTATCTTAACCATGTTACCTGTATAGT